CCACGATTATGGCCACTGTTCTTCCCACATCGTCTTGCTCGCTGGTTTCTATACAATATTACACACAACAAAGAGAGAAAAAGGCAGCTTTTATTTAATTTAAGGTTAAGAATAAATTATAAAATAATTATTGAGGTTGAATTTAACCCTACTCCATGGAAGTTTTATAACCGTTCAATCAACATACACTTTACGAATGTATCTAAAAATGTAAAATAGAACGGTTAAAATTTTTTGTAGAAGAGTATCCACGAAAATAGGGTCAAATTTGACATTACTTAATGGTGTGCATGTTACAAGTTACTAGAAAGTGGACAAACATTATGTTCAAGTTGCAAAAGTGAATTATAAAGTGCGAATTTAGATTGTTTTTTTTAGTGACCATATAAAAAATAAAAAAATAAAAAAATGGAATCTTGACCTAAGGTTATGTCCCAGAATAATTTTTCGAGGGATTCTGATTCTCAAATAATCGGTGCAAAACTACGAAGTGACATTGCACTTTTTATTTGTGTGTTTCTCATTTTTTTTAAAAAAAGAGTATGTGGCTCAAATTGGTTAATAAAATCATTTGAGTTTCAGGTCGTTAATACTAATAAACGAGCCGAAAAAATTGAACAAGCTCGTTTATCATCTCGTTTTGTTAACCTCAGCTCGACAAAAACTCAAGTTCGAGTATCATCACCTCCGAACTCGACTCAACTCGTTTACGTCAGAAAAACCCAGAAAAAAAAAATAAAAGAACAGTGACTATGAAAATGATATGATATTAAATTAAGAGATTTTTTCTTACAAAATTAAAAGAACAGTGATTTTTTTTCTTACAATTAAAATATTTGACAAAAAAGTACAGTGATTTTTTCTTACAAAATTCCAATATTTTTAATTCCAGGGCGCATATTAATAGAATTGCACAAAGATGAATTCAAAGATAGATTTTAAAATATAAAAATAATAAAAGCTTATCATGATATATATTTCTAATTCCCATTTTAACTCGCAGTCCAACGTCAAATTCCACCAGCTCCAAAGTGAAAGATATAGTATATTATTAGCTAAACAAGTAGTGCTATTTTCTTATGTAGAATTTTTTCTTTGGAAAAAAATATGATTTGCAAAATTGTAAGGATAAATATTACTTAATTATCACATGCTCATTTTAATTAATCGCATTATATGAAAGAAAATAAATCTATACTTATTTTTATATGATGTTTAAAGTTTGAAATTTAAATTATTTTTTAAATTTTCACATAGAGTAAAAATAAAAATTTAGCTGGGATGGGATATTTCTTACTATTTAAGATAATTTTTTTTATCGGTAAAAGTAAATTTATCTAAATTATGGTTCGGACGACCGATAATCGGCATAAAAAAAGCGCAGCAGGCAACCACATTTTGCATCTCCGGTGGCCGGAAGTCGTTAAGTGCAAGAATATTTGAAGTTCAAGGGGTAAAGTGTCACCGAAAAAAGTTGAGTGGGCAAAGTGTAAAAACGCGGATAGTTCGGTAGGCAAAGTGTAATTTTTCCTATTATTATTATTAGATTATAGATGCAAAATCTGCAACTATGGATTATTGTGCTTTGGATTTTAGCTGGAGTTGATCTTCTTAACCGAACGGTAGTAAATGGTTTATACGAGAGTTTTGCCACGTAATTGTTTATATGAGTTGTAGAGCTGTTAAACGATACGAGTTGCTCGTGAGCTCAGTTTGGCTTGCTTGATAAAGTCGAGAGCTCGTTTCGGGATCTTTGGCTCGACACGAGTCGGATCGGAAATCACACGACTCATATTGTTGGTCCTGGAAGGCTGAAGCTCCATTTTCAAGGAGGATTTCGGCTCCCGGTTGATTCTCAACTCATCATCCTGGGGCTGTTAAGACGGCGGTCAGTCGATTCTCTACTCATTGTGGGAACATGGAATTCTTCTACACAATTTAGTTAAATATAAATTTGAATTTTTTGGCAAACAAAAAAAATAGCATTCTTCTATATAAACTAATTCAATCCAAATTAAATTTTTGAAAAAAAATAAATAAATAAAAGAAAAATCAGCCAAACCCATCATTAAAATACTTATTTTCTAACAAATGCCACATCAGAGAATAAACAAACAAAACAAAAAAACTAAAACCAAATAAATTGGCCGATAGTCCTAGTCTTTAGGTACACAAGTTAAATGATGCAC